TCCTTCGACTGTTTTGTGGTAGGCCTAGGCTTACAATTTTTGCTCAGTAAATGTAATTGTCTTAGGCTACTACTTCTGGTAGTCTTTTGTTTCTGTGTCCCGTACAATTTTTAGTGTTGTTTTGTCTTGTAAAATGTTCAGTTTGTGTTACCCAGTCAAGTAAGGTTAAAGTCTTTTATTTTGCTTTGTCCTTGCCAAACTAGTTAAATTAAGTTATTTTAACTGCTCTTAAAGCTCCCCAGAAAGTTTGAGTCATTTTAATCAAGTTTTAAGAAAGTTACAGTAATTTTTAGTTTGGCAATTCTCCATTCAGGTTTGAACTGGGTAACCAAAAGGCCTACTGGTTTCAGCCTTTGAGTTAAGGTTTGGAATGGTCTGGAAAAGCTGCTGGAACATTTCCCCCAGCTTTTAAGACCATTCCGAACAAATTCGGATCACAACTTTTGGAGAAATTAGCAAAAATACATGAGTCGTTGCGTTAGGCCTAAATTTTTTGTATGGAACGTTTTTTGTCAATTTTAAAGTATTTTTCTGTGTTTAAGAGGCGGTCGGACAGAGATTCTCGGCTGCCGGCACTGGCCGTCACTTTAACATGGAGCGCATATAATAATTCCTCGTTTTCTGGTCTATCCGTGTTCCAAAAATTATTTCCCACACTCAAAACATTGTAAATGTATGTAGGATTAAGACTGTACAATATAAAAATCATAATGTTTAATTATAAGCCGAATATAAAATAAATCATTTCTTACATTTCCCATAAGGAATTGCAATACTTTCTGCTAAAATATAAAATGACTGGCACTATAAACAATTCTAGTTCAAACGCCATATTGAAGAGCATATATTCATTAGTGTATTGAGTGTGACAGATATTTATTTTTCGATGGTTAACATTAAGTTTTGTATTTTTTTGTAAAAGCTTGCAAAAAAGCCTTGCTTGCCGACTGAGTACTAGTTCGACGATGTCCCGGCCGATGGCAGCACAGTCGATTGTGGCCTACAGAGCACGTTTTCAAACCGCGCCAAATACAATTCATTTAAACTGGCCACAGATCCGTTTAAATAAATAAATAACGTTATGCCGTTACATACCTGATGTATTATAATGCCAAGGAAATGATGATATTTAATTCACAGGAATCTAAGAATCTAATATTTTCGGAGTGTGTATTTATGTATTAAAATATTACTGTTATCAGAGATAAAAGTTGTGCCAAAGGCATGGATTACATTAATATATTAAATGCCAGCTGGTTATAATTCATTTGTTATTGTTTTGAACTTATAATTGTTACTATGAAAATACAAAAACTGTGAACCAAACTCTCAACTTATTTCAGTTTCATCTAACTTTTAATCTTATAAAACTAACTAACTTTAAACTTGAACAACTAACTATTTGACAAAAGTAGTTCTTCAACACCCGGTTTGATACAAACTATTCAATATAAAACAAGTTCCGTTAGAATAAACGTCTCTTTTGGTCATACTTAGTACGTTGATTACGGACTTATCTGTGTAAAAATAGCTGCTGCAATACACAGTTTGACATAAACTATTTGCCAACAAGAAAACAAGGTCCAGTGGAACAAAAGCATTTCCTGATATACTGTACGTGGTATATCCGATTAGGGTCTTCCAGGAACCACAGCCACCCTCCGGACCAGCGCTGCGTCGTTGCCAAGCCGGCTTCTGACTCATGGATTATCTTGGAATTGCGATGTCCCGTTACAGGCCTAATATTCTGGGTAAAATAAAACCCCAAGTGGTCAGTTGTAGTGTGGTGTTCGATACAGTTACTAGTTCAGTGTTGTTCCCACCATGACAAAATCGCGACCGCCGCTATCGAAACGGAAGTCAAAACGAAGAATTTCAAGAGGATTGCAACGCTTCAATGAAAATAAAAGGTAAACATTAGTAGATTACATTCTTTCTGTTTTGTTATTAAAGATTAAACAATTTACGACAGGTGAGATAAATAAATTTTAATTGAGTTATAGAAGATAATTTATAACATAATTTTATGCAAATTACTTTTAGCGAATTTCCCTATAGGGAAGTAGCTATTACCGTAGGTCTCATGGTAAGACTTAGGCCCGGGACCGATTTACTTTTTCATTTTGATGTCCCCAGAGGCCAAAAACACCACTCGTTCAAATTTTTATATATGTATATATATATGTGTGTGTGTGTCCGTGAACACGATAACTTGAATAATTTTTATCCGATTTTGATGAAATTTGGTTTGAAGGTGTAAGGCGGGATAAACTTGAATGAGTTCGCGATCCAGCATGATCGGACCATGGGAACAGGGTTTTATGGGGGGTTTTATGTGGTAAAAATTGGGTTTTCTCACTTTTGACCCTCAAAACACAAAATTTCCCAATTTTTGTCTAAACCTTCTTAAAGAGCTTAAAAAAAAAACAATTCAGTATATCAAAGTGTTTTGTACGGTTATTGGTTACGGAGAAAACTAAAAAAATGGTAAATTTAAAATTCCCATGTTATTCTTATGGAGAATATTGTAAAATGTTGTAGTTTGCTTGTTTATGGATATCTTTTGATCAAACTTGGCAAATATATTCATTTTATACTAAGCAATAATTATTTTACTCAAAACACACACTTTATTAGTTTCCTTGTAGCAGCAAACCTAGGTACTCGTTAAACATAATGTTATTAATAGAATTAAATAGATCAATTGAAAATCAATTCAGCCAAATGGAAATTCGCTTAGGCGTCAGGTTTGCTGCGGCGGGGGTATTTTTAAATTAATGTTGACTATCTTACTCATACAGAGGAATATTTTGTTGATGATTAATAACATTAAAGACACTTGTGTGTAATATAATTATGCTATAAAGTGTCCGAAAATATCTTACATCGATCATTATAAATTTACATTTTATGAAATAAGCCAGAACTTAAAAATTGTAAACCTCATGAAATGTTACGCACTCCTTATTCCAAATCCTATACTACTTCGAAAGTAAAAAGTATAAATATAGACTAATCCAAATATCCAAATGGCGACCACATAAAATATATCCAAAGTTAAATTCCATGAAAACTAGCCACTAAATCAAAATTATTGTCTACACAACACACGATTAAAGTTGTAGCAATCAAAATACCTACACATTTTTACAACATTATGAAATGGCGGATAAATAGCTAAGCCTAAATCGGGAAAATTTTACCGGACTTTCTACTTTTATGTCAGGGTAGGCTATGTTACTTTATGGAAGTTCATTTAAATAACCACATAATTCTCGTCAACATGGCTAGAACGGTTATTAGTCAAGTCATAAATATAGGATCCTCCATAGACTACTTTAGAACAATTGGAAATAAACATCTCTTTGTGTCATAAAGTATAAAAGGCTCTTTAAAAAAATAATACTTTGATGTCATAAATATTTTTTTTTACATTTTCCCCTGTTATTTTTAGGAAGTTATCGATCCAGAGGAGGATAACTGGTGAAAACGAGGAAGTAGCATGTCTGGACCCTTCTACTTCTACTTCATCAACTCCTGTAGACGTCCACTTGACTGGCAGAAGGATTGTTAACATCAGCGACTTTATAAGTCAAATAAAAACCTTGGGCTCCCACGGACCTTTGGGCTGCAGCATAACGAACATGGATTTAGTGCGAGAGAAGAGAGAAGGGCTGAGGTCAGCATTCGTGTTTAGATGCAACTTTTGCCACCTGGAGAAGACGGTTTGGTCCGAGATTAGAAGACAGTCCGTGATGGATCTAAACACTTGTGCCGTGAGTGGAACCATCACTACTGGCGGTGGACACAGTCAGCTGGAGGAAGTAATGTCGGCCATGAATATTCCACCCATCAGCGACAAGACCTTCAGGAAGTATGAAATTGGTGTCGGAGATTTTTTAATGTGTACTGCTGAGGATGAAATGAAGAGGGCTGCTGCAGAAGAGGCAAAACGTGCCATAGAAATGGGAGATGTGGACTCGGATGGGACACCTTTGATTACCGTGGTGGCTGACGGCAGCTGGGGCAAGCGCTCTTACAGGACAAATTATTCATCATTGTCAGGAGTGGTAAGTACAAATCCTTTTATGCAACTCATTTTCAGTAAATTAATCAAATGCAAAAATAACAAAACTATTTTATTATTTGATAAAAGTAGTTTAGTTATTCAATAATCTAACACAGTTGTCAAGAATGCTCATTTATTTCAAAGTAAAAAATATTGTGTAAATTTGGATATCATACTAAGAATAAAATTGTCATCTAAGTATGATTATATTACGACTGAAAAGTTAGCTTTCGACCATATTGCTATATAAAATATTTGTAAAGTACTACAAAAACTAAGAAGAGTGATATAACACTCGATGTGTTTTGCTATTTATGAGGCGAAAAAAATTTTAATTGTCTTGGCGACCGCCGGGGGGAGATGAGGATCGACCTAGGTCCGTGTGCCACCCTACGCTATACAGACTATATATTTTATTATTTTATAAAAGTAGGACTAGTCCAAAATTATGTACAAGAAGGTCAATACAACACTTACATAAATAAAACCGAAACTATTGAAAATTATTTTGTGTGCCTGTTGTTAATAGTGTACTTAAACAGCCACATTATTATTCTATGTATTATCAATGTGTTGCGATTTTACATTTACATTTATTTGAATCTGTATTAATAATGTGATATTTGATTATTTGTTACAGGCTGCTATAGTGGGACATCACACTAGAAAAGTTTTATACATGGGTGTGAAAAATAAATATTGTACCCCGTGCGTCCGGGCAAAAGCCAAGGATGTTCAGCCGAAACCCCACACCTGCTACAAGAACTGGGGGATGAAACAAAGCTCATCAAGTATGGAGCCTGCTCTCATCGCCGAGGGATTCGCGTGCAGTGAGGAGATGCACGGGGTGCGATACGCGCGGCTCATCGCAGACGGCGACAGCAGCGTCTACAAAAAGATTTGTGAGACGCGACCGTATAAAAGTATCACTGTGGAAAAAATCGAATGCAAAAATCATTTATTAAGAAATTTTTGTAACAAGCTGCGGCAAATCGCTACTACCGGCAATAAGATCAAAAACACTGTTCAGCTTCGCAAGAAGATTGCCGAGAAAATAATGAATTTTAGAACGGCGGCGTCGAAGGCAGCGGACTATAGAAGGAAGCAGGACGGATCAATGGAAGATAAGGTGAAGAACCTCAGAATGGATCTCATGAACATTCCCAGCCACGAATTCGGGGAGCACTCACATTGCTTGGACAGAGGCTATTTTTGCGCTGCTGAGCCTGGATCTGATCCTGCGAACCTTGTTCCTGCACTGACCGCTTCGGGACTGTACGCATTGTTGATCGAGGTACGATAAATTTAAGATTAATTATTCTTTTCTACCATTGACATAAGATTTCGCAATTTCTTTCAAAACTATTCTGTAATGCTTAAATTTAAAAAAAGGTTTCATTAATTCAAGCATTATTTGACGATTACGCAAATATATTTACAAACAAATTTAAATTTAAAATTAACATGTTAATTTGTATGGAGAATAATTATACTGTTATCGTTTGCTTGTTTCTGGACATATAAAAAGAAATTCTAGGCCAGATATATATCCTTCATAACCTTTTAACATTTTAATAAAATAACAGAATCCATTAATTTCCCTGTAGCAGCAAACCTAAGTACGTAATTTTCTTTTATTGTTAGGGCCCGGTCTAAAGTCTGTACATTTGTTTAATATAGGTTGGTACTTAACCATCAGAATAAATTGTCACAGATGTCTAACTAATCCGATCACCCATTACTATTTTGTTACATTCACTGTGTGATTGTTATTGTTAGAGAAGTAACCCCATTGTTCTTTATTTAGGAAGTGAAAAACCTAAGCCGACACAGTCGCAGCCTTATCGCCAACGTGACCAGCAACCCTGCGGAACATTACAATTCCATAGTCGCCAAGTACATCGGCGGCAAGCGCATCAACTTCGCACTTCGGGGGTCATATCAGGGCCGTTGTTCTGGCGCAGTTCTCCAGTACAACTCGGGGAACACGCACTATCTCCTCCACAAAAAGATGTGCGAGTCAAGCCCTGGAATATATTCTAAAAGCACAGGTAAACCTAATGTTTTAATGTCACTGGAACAATGATTTAGAAAACAATGACTAAACAAATTTTAAATTGTGAAAACAAAGTTTAAAGTTATCTTATCATGTTTTTACAATTAAAAATTAAAATTAAAAGAGAGTCAGTAGACAATGGAGTACTAGCCTATATTGGAGATCGATATTTGTTTTCCAGTTTTGTTTTTTTTTCGCTATGTGTTTATCACTTGCCAAAAGTCATCATTACAATGTTTACTACGCAAAATAGTATTTTTCATAAGAAGAGTAGACAGTGAATCATTACATATTTGAGACCATGTTTGGAGTGCCATATTTGTCGAGCACTTTAAATGGTCAAGTATATACTGTAGACCCACTTTTACTCGTATTTTGAACGTTACTTTTCGCCACACTACAAAGACTAATTATTTTCTCTCTAAGAATGGCTAATTTGCATTGAAGTCTTGTTAATATGGAGGGCTGCATCCATTTATCTCAAATAACCTACAACAATAATACCTCTATAATTTATTCTTCTCTGTAAATGTATGAAATATTCAAAATCACTAAAACATTATGTCATATACTTTTTCAGGTATTAAGAGGAAAAGGAAGGTCGATAGACAGAAAGGAAAAAAACGGTCCAGGAAATGTCTGTTTCGATCTTCTAACAAACCAGATGAAGATTATGGACCTGCTGCACAGAAACCTGACCTCGAGGAAGACCTCATGGCCGAGGAGACTGACGAGTTCATGCGAAGCCTCCAAAAAACTGAAGAGGAACGCAAAAAGTTGGAACGGGAGACTGTGGAGCAGAGCAACAGTGGCGTGTGGCTGCAGACTAGGAGGAATCTTCTGACAGCATCCAACTACGGAAGAGTCTGCAAGATGAAGCCTACAACAGGCTGCGGTCCATTCGTCAAGCAGCTGCTCTACTCCACCTTCGACTGCGAGGCGATGGCGTATGGTAGGAGTCACGAGGACACCGCCCGGCAACACCTCGAGCGGGAGCTAGAGACGACTATCCAGCCCTGCGGACTCTTCATACATCCACAAAAGATGTTCTTGGGAGCCACACCTGACGGTCTGTTAGGTGCGGATGGTCTCGTAGAGATCAAATGCCCATCCTCCGCCAAGAATATGACTCCGGATGAAGCCATCATATCCCGAAAAGTGACCTTCTGGAAGTCTCAGGACGGCAAAATCGGTGACATCAACAGAACTCATAACTATTACTACCAAGTCCAAGGACAATTGGGTGTAACCGGTCGTGAGTTCTGTGTTTTTGCTCTCTGGACGCCGAAAGGACTGAAGACAGAAAAAATTAAAAGAGACGACGAGTTTTGGAACAGTATGATTATTAAACTTGAAAGATTTTACATGAACTGTGTAGTTCCAGAAATCGTGGACCCACGTCATCGAAGGTCGATGCCCATTCGAAATCCTATGTATATAATAGAGGCACAGGATAAGGCAAAGTCTAAAAAAAACAGCCAGAGCCAGATTGAACCTTCAAATGGCTTTGAAACGTAAAAATAGGTACGGCACGAAGGACCTACTGTTTTTTTTTCAAATTGAATTCGTTCCATTGTATATATGTTCAGTCTTTTGTAAATATATGATAAGTCGTTTGTTAATAAATTCAGTCTTTTGTAATTATGATAAGTCGTTTGTGAATAAATTTATTCTTTTGTAAATATGATCAGTTTTTGTAAATATATTCAGTCTTTCGTAAATATGATCAGTCGTTTGTAAATATATTCAGTCTTTTGTAAATATGTTCAGTCTTTTGTAAATATGTTCAGTCGTTTGTAAATATATTTTTACAGTACTTAGTATTTTTCATAAGTATATCATTATAGTTGAATTAGAGACGACATTTATAGTTTTTTCATGTAGGTTTGAGCATACACTTTTAAGGTTTTATTTATGCTATTTTAATTTATTATATTTTTTTTAATACGCTTAACATTTATTTTTACGTGATTTAATGTTTCTATTTTGTGTAAACATACTTAGGGTTCGAAGGACCTACTGTTGTTTCTAATTTAAATAGTTCCATTTCCTATATGTCCAGTCTGTTGTAAATATGATCAGTAGTTTGTAAATATATTCAGTATTTTGTTAATATGTTCAGTATTTTTCATAAGTATTTCATTATAGTTTAATTAGGGACGATATTTGTAATTTTTTCTTGTAGGTGTAAGCATATATTTTTCAAGGTTTTATTTATGGTATTTTTAATTCATGTAAGTTTTAAAAAATGTATCAAATTTATTTTAACTTGATTTAATGTTTGCAGTTTGTGTACATATAAATACTTTTTTATCTAAATATGTAATGTACGACTAATCATTATGCGGTCTAACAAACTGTATTTCTATAAACACAACCAATATGTTGGTAAATAAAAAAAATTGGATAATAATGTAGACTTATTCCACCCTTTGATGAACTTTTCCATAAACTTATCATCTGTTATGATGCTTATAAATTTCCATAAAGAACTGTGATTGAAAAATGTAATTTATTTGTATAAAAAAAATATGGGATAGGCCTAGTATTTATATTATTGAGCTCAGTAGCTCTAGTATATTATTTATAATTGAATACGTTATCATGTAATTATTTTAAATTAAAATTAAGTGTGTAAATCAAAATGTCTTACTGAAAGAGCTATTTGTATCAACAAAACAGTCTTTTTGAGTGTGGAAAATTAGCATATTGTGCATATTGCTGTGCATATTGGGTGACGAACTGAGACCTGCTGAGACGAAAAGGGTGGGTGAGCGAAGGTAGCGAGCAGTGAAAGTGAAACATGCGGTGGAACAAAAGACAAGGGCTAGAACACTGGCTGAGGGTAGTCGAGTTGATGCTTTCCAGTTTCTAGGTCACACAGGGTTGTCAACAATCTCAGATCCCGCCATGCGACAGCCACGAAACTGGTGGCCTAGGGTGGTACTATTACAACCATCTGTTTTGGGAGAACTGTGTTGTTGCTCGTAACGCCTGCAGAATGTGGGATACGGGGCTCTATCCGACCGCCTCTTAAGTGTCAATTGTTCTCTGTTAACTTGTTCTTCTGGCCACTTTGGACCAGACAATTTAAATTTTTTCTCTCAATTGGTGAAATTTACCACTGTCACATACCCGTCTGGCCTGCTGACATTGTTACCGCAAATTAATGTTACCATTCTTGTACTGTTTAACCTGTTAATTGTTATGTTTAAAATATTGTTATTGTTTGAAATGTTTTATATTGATAGAGAGCTGTGATAGAGAGACAAACCTTTTAAAAATTTATAAACTTTTGAAAATGATATGTTAGGCCTAAAGCAGTGAAATATTGGAACTAAATGTAAATGGTGAAAGATGTGACAGTGAACCTTGCGGATATGGACTCAGTCTATTATTCTTACTACTGTGTTTCCTGGGTTTTGTCACTCAGGGCCTGTGAGGAGGACATGAAGCAGACTCGAGCTATTTTGGTGGAGAGGAAGTTTGTTTCGCCTTGCTGTCTCTGGGATTATGGCCTACCTCTCCGTTCTGCTCGTTTTCCCCTCCCGTGCTGCTCGCCTAGGAGATGGACCTTCTACTTATAGCAGAGAAGCTTTTCCTACTTGGGGCCAATCTTTTGGACTTTGGGATGCCCCCTCTCTGCCCAGTTTCATCGCCCCTCCACCTAGTGACTGAGATGCCCTAGACAGTTACCGCCTAGTTACCGCAAGTTACTACTGTTGTTATTTAGTGTCATTTATTGTTGATTAATTTTTAGATGTTTATATCAAGATTTAAAGATTATTTATTGTTATTCCTTTTAAATTTTAAATTCATTAGCCTATTTGTTGATATTTTAAATTTTATTACCTTTTACTATAAATTCAATTCTTGGGGCCCCTAAATGTTAAATTGTTACCAGTTATTTAAAGGAAGAGATTTTTATATAGCCTATTCATTGTTGCAATTTTACAAATTTTATTTTACTAAGGTTAAAACTGATTAAATTTACTTTGACTGAATTTAGCCTATTTTGAATTTTTTTAAATTAATGTTCCTTTGTAAGTGAGTAGGCCAAATTGGTAACAAAATTTATTTAAACTTTATTTGAGAGTATTTACTTCATGTATTGTTGTTAATGTTGTTGTTGTTTATTTTTTTAATGGTTAATTACAGCTCGTTTCTCTCAAATGGCGTGTTGTTCTTGAACCTCCATCCATGGTTCTCATTTTGTTAAGTAAAGTTTTGTGAGCCGCTCCTCGGGCCTGCGCATGGATCACGCTTCCATTTCGTTAGTCTGGGGGCAGGCACGAGGGCATGGTTCATCTGGTAGCAGAGCGTGGTTAGTGGGTTGCGTCTTGGGTGCCTTGTCGTGAAACTTGGTTTCACGACTCGGATACTTAGGGATGCGATCACTGTCCACGTTCTATTTTTTGTTTTGTTTGAAGAGCCGTGGATGGATTGGTTTCTTGGAAATGTTCTGGCCTGGCAGTTTTGGAAAAGGGCCTTGTTGTGTTGTGGTGGGGCGTAAACGCTTTTTATTAGGAGCTCGCCCTTTGGCCGAGGCACCGGGTGGAATCGGTGGTAATGACTTGCATCCTTCGGGAGCAAGAGTGTCAAAAGCATGGTCATGTGTCTCAAAAAAAAAAAAAAAGGTTTGTGTGTACACCCCATCACACAAGTGTTAGGTGTTGTCTAGTGTATGTATCGGTGTATGTTTGTGTGTGTGTACGTTCGTGGGTCATTCGTTGTTTTTTTTCTTGCGGTACTTGCGGTATGAATGGGCAGGTTCTTCTTTTGGGCCCCATCAGGTGCGTAGGCATCAACGTCCAGAAGCCTTAGGAATTAAATTTCTGTGTTTGTTTTGTGAAAAACTTTTGTTGTCTATTTTGAGTCAAGTGCTGGTTGAGACTCGGTATGGCGTCAATTGTGCCGGAATATTTGAGGAAGCCGGAGCTGGTGTACGAGGTGCGGTCCCGGGGGGAGACTCCTGGAACTGATGTACGCACTTTGCGTACACAGTTCAGACAAATTGCTAGCATGCCTCAAGCTTGGGTTGAGTCGCTCAGTTTGGATGAGGAACTGGAGGCATGTAAAGAGAGGATGGAAGAGCTAAGTGGGGAAATTGATAGTTGGAGTAGTTTGCCTACGGGCTCAGCTAAGGGTTCTGCTATCACACAGCTGACGCACTGGCGTAAGCGTCTACTCTTGGTTTTGGGGCAACCTGAAAGCCAAGATGAGGACAAGAGCTGGGTGGAAGCCAGAATTCTTGAGCTGGAAGGAATTTTGGAGAGTATTAAGGCAGGAAAGTCTGTCAAAGAGAAAGTTGAAATTTTTGAAGACAACCGTTCTTCGGAAATTTCAAACGAAGTACCAAGGTCAGTTGATGTGACTCCAGTGGGTACCCCCCAGGCTCCGCCTACGCCAAGTACACTGCTCCAGTTGCCTGCAAGTGTTCAAATGTCAAATGCAAATGTCACACCGTCCCCCTCTCACACGTCCACCTTGGCTGCGGCTACGCTGAATGTCCAGTCCCCATCTCCCTTTCCTTCTCAAGTTCATAGTTCCCCTTCCATCTCTAACTCCTTTGGCAAACTTCCCCATCCCCTTGCCTCTGTCCTGAGTGGTTTCCGGCCGGTGGACGGGTTAGATGTGAATGGTCTTTGTTTTTTTCTGGAGAGTGTTTTGCGCATGCGTGAATACCCTGGCATGTCAGACGCAACTTTGATGGAACTCATTGCTCCATACTGTCTGAAACCGTTGGGGGACAGATTGCTTGATTGTTTGCGCAGAGGCGTCACCTTTGATGTTTTTCATAAAGAAGTTTTGGAGCTTTTCATGCCCCGTCGGGTCATGGAGAAGCTGAAAGTTGAGAGAGTTTTTCGTCCTCAGCAGCCAGCCGAGTCTCTCAGCCAGTACGTGGGGGACATTCGCACGGTGGAAAGGGTCTTGCGTTTGGGGATCAGTGAGCTTGAGCTCATTGACATTGTGCTTCAGGGGTTGAAGCCTGAGGAACGCTCCCGTCTGGTTTTTGCACCACGACCTTCATCTTTTGCGGATCTGGACAGACTTTCCATCCTTTCGAGATCTGTCCAGGACGCTGATTTTCAGAGAGACCAAGCGGCGGGGCATCTTCCCCTAGCTGGTCATCATGCTGTCGTAGCACCCGTGGGAGTGTTGGGTCCTGAACCGCCGCAGTGGCAGAGGCAACCTGTTGTTTGTTTTGGTTGTGGGCAACCAGGTCACATTCGGCGGCATTGCCGTCAAGGTGGAAATTTTGGACGTGGTCCAAAAAACTAGTTTGCTCACAGGAGGAAAATTTGCCCAATCCTTCCTGTGAGGTTGTTGGTGATAATGTAAAGGGCAATAATTTGAAAGTTTTTTCAAGTAAGTCAAAGTCTAAGTTAAAGTCAGTTAATGTTTCTGTTGCCTCCCCTTATGGGAGTGTTGTGCCTGTGACCGAGCCTCTGCTGCGGGGGATTGCGGGCCTTGCTTCCATGGGCGTGAAAGCGGCGCGCTCAACTTGCCCACGTCTCAACATCTTCA